TTCCTCTTCATTCGTCGAACTTTCTTCCTTTGTTGTCGAACCCTCAGCCTCACCATCAAACTCCCAACCCCAAGCAGGGTTATGGATGGGTGCGGACGATGAAGCTTCAGGACCTTGGTATAACACATAAAAAGGGTATCTCCCATCGTCTTCACCAAGTAAACCAACACTCTTATGGCCTGCTTCATGGAGCTCCTTCAAAATTTTCTGAGAACTCTTGCCTTGTCTCGCCACCTCAGCAGCTAGATCGATTCTACTTCCCAATCGAGCCATCCTAACACCCCATGGCTCATCACTTGCTTCCAAACGAGCAAATGCCTCGGTCAACTCAGCAACGGACCTGTCTGTATCTTCGGCCTCTTCTATTACCTCTTCTTCCTCCACATATCCATCCCGGTCTTCCTCATTGAATTGGAAAACCATAGGTAGTATGTAGTTTGTGACCACCACTGGCGGCAAACTTTCAAACTGGATTGTCAAAGGTGGTCCTTGGTCATCTCCTTCATCATCCTTGTTGCTTCTATCAAATTTGGGATTGGGATGCTCATCTTCTAGCATGTCATCTTCAGCATACTCATCTTCGTATTCACCTCCTTCTTCCTGGAAGTCACCCTCAACCCCTTCATGAATTTTGACATCACCTTGAACTTGGACTTGCTTCCCTTTGTCAGTCATTGTCACCTTGAGCCCGGTAGTCACTGAGTTGTCCACCTCGATATTTGGTGGAACGAAATCATTCTGTGGTGGTGGTCTGATCGTCGCACCAAGTATGACTGGGTACCTCCCCTGCCGTGCTTCGGCATTCTTACGTAGGAATCTCCTCCTTTGAGTCCTTGTCATCCCCCCAATGGCTACTGGTTGTTGACGACGCATGTCATAAGTATGCCACCCTCCTTGTGGCACATTGGGCATCTTAAAAGTTCTCGCGGGAGGAATTCTAACGGGAGGACTTCTAACGGGAGGACTTCGCATGGAAGGAATTCCATGTGCTATCCACTGCCTTCGTTGCCCCCAAGCTGGCTGGACGACCCCCTCCACTTGTCTCTGATAAGAAGGGTATCTCGGCCTGTTGGGTGGGCCAAGTCTTTGGTGGGCGGAAGGCCTCGCCTCATCAAGTTTGAGGCTCTTCTTGCACTGAGCACACAACTTCTCAATTTCATCTTTCATCATTGCGGCCGGGCTAGCCTGCTTTGTACCTGACGAGCTCCCTTGTTCATGAGTGACATTGGAGCTCCCATGTTGAGGTGGCGTTGTATCCAACACCAACTTGAAACGGGGCAACTCAATTTTGGAGAGATCCGGGTTAACCATGTTGATGCCTACCACGTTGGGAAATGGGTCAGTATCCACCAACATGGCATCCTTCTTTGGTTCCGGGAACTTGATACGCCCCTTCTCAATAGCATCCTGCAAGATATTACGGAAAATCACACATGAGTCAGTGGCATGTGACATGCTGTTATGCCACTTACAATACTTCTTTCCTTTTAATTTCCCGGGTGGTGGTATGTTATGCCCCCCAGTTAACTTGATCTGACCATCCTTGTAGAGTTGGTCAAAAATCAAGTCAGCCTTCGAGACATCAAAGGAGTACTTGCGTGGCTGGATGGGGGCCCTATTGGGTCTACCCCCTTGTGGCTCGTTTTCAGCCTTAGTCAAAGAAGCACAAACATATGGCTTCCCCGGAGCTAACTCAGCCAGGTCTACTTCTACCTCAATGGCCTCTTGGCCGACCTGGTTGACAGGGTAGTTAATTGAGGGGAAGTATTGCCCCCTTGATGCACTCCTCCTATTCTCCTCTTCTTGGAGAAGAGACTCATATCTCACAGCACAAGACATGAGTTGGAACAAGTCCGAGAACTCTCTGTCTTGGAATTTCTTCCTTAACTCAAAACTCAAGCCCCCTTGAGCAAGCTTGACAAATTCCCTCTCTGTCAAGTTGACAAAGCAACGGTTACGAGCATTCTTGAAGTTAGTCAAAAAATGCTCGACCGACTCCACTGGCTGCTGGCGCATGCGTGCCAAGTCAGCCATTGAGACCTCGGGCTCAGATCGATAGAACTGGGCATGGAAGATTTGTTCCATCTGTTGCCAAGTTTGGACAGAGTTAGACGGCAAGTTGACATACCATGCAAAAGCTGGCCCTGTCAACGAGTTGCCAAAAAGCCTCAGCTTGACAAAGTCTCCCACGTCTCCACATTGGACAGTAAACCGTCCCACATGTTCAACAGTGGACTGGTCACCAGTACCGGTGAAGGTGGCAAACTCGGGTACCCTAAACCCTCTTGGGAATGGGTATAGCCTATCTACCCATTCTGGGTAAGGCTTACGGTACACAGGTGGCATGGTGGGCCTTACTCCTAATCAATGCAGTCAAAAGCGCGATTCTATCTAGAAGCGGTCGGGTGACCTAGAAGCGTAAAATCATAAGTTTTTAAGTTTTAAAGCGTAGATTTTGACTACATTTGTAAGGGAAAATCACAATTCTACATAGAAGCGTTTTGGTGAACTAAAAAGGTAAAAGCGTAAGCTTTTAAGTTTTAAAGCGCGATTTTGACTGCATTGCTCCTAATCCAAATTGCTCGGTAAGGAGTTGAGCCACCTGATCCCTTAGGGTATTAGCATCATGCCCCCCTTGCCCCCCTGGCGGTACGAACCCCATGGGGTCCACACCATGCCCATGGACTTGGGGTGGTATGGGTGCTGGGTAAACACGTGGAGGAATTTGATCCCCAACACCTAACCTTCCTCCCCCACCCATGTTAGGAGGAGCTACGTAGGGTCTCGCCACCGGGATGGATGGCGGTTGTTCAACATGGGTGTTGTACGTAGTGGCAAAATTTTCGCCACGTGGGGGAAATTCCCCAACTCCCACGTTAACTGAAGCCTCCACTTGAGTGGTGGCGGGAATCTCGCCGCGATTCACGGGGTGAGAGGTTGGTTGGGTTGTCACCGGCGGCGGTAGGTTATCTTGCCGTAGTTGGCCATTCCGGCCACCGACAGGAGAAAAATTTGCATTGTTTGGAGTTGAACTTGTGCCATCAATTGGCAAAGCTCGTGATTGTACCACTGGTGTGGTCAAAATTCTCCTAAACTCATCAAAATCATTCCTATTTTTAGTTACAATTTCAAAAAGTTGACTTAAACGCCTATCTACACAGGAGTTAAGACAATCAATTTGAGAATTTACCTGAAGAGTGTTTCCAGCCAAAGCTTCCCCCATGAATTGGCGAAGTGACCCAATGGCAGCAACTACATCAACGTTGGAGTTTGGTGCCGGCGGCGGCAAGGCTTCCCCGCCGTCATTATCACCGGAAACCGCTTCAGCTAACTGGCCATGTTCAATGTTGGCCACTTGCTCCTCCACAAACCCTGGCGGAGCATCACTTTCCTGATTCTTTCGCCTAGGCGCCATCGAATCAAACACAGAGTGGTCCCACCAGGTGTGCCAATTTGTTTTCCGGCGAGGAAAAACTTGTGTTTGAACACAATGAATGCACCTTTGACTTCTTGAACAACGAAAGGCAAGTTGCAGAGAAAAGATAAATTTTGACATAGTGTGTCAAATGATTGGTTGTGGAACCCCTGCTTCTTCTTCGTTTCTTCTATTTATAGCCACTAGGTGTAACTGCCTTGGTAACCGCCTTGGTAACTGCTAGCTGGCCTCTTGCTCCAAACCGCCTCGGGTTCCTTGTCGCCGCCTTGGTGACTAGTTGGCAACCGTCGCCTTGAGGCCCTTGTCCCGTCTTGGGGTTGGTGGGTACTTGATGGCCTCGATGCCGGGTCGGGTTGGTGTTGAGCCTCGTCGCCTTGTCATAACTGGATGGGGTTGAGGTTATTTGCCTTAGCCTCCATGATGAAGTCTTGATCACATCCTCGACATCCCTGATGGCTCCATGCTCCTCGTCTTGATAGCCACATCGATGAACGTCTTGATAGCTAGGCCATATTACCCTCCTAGGCAGGACGAGAATTTGGCCCCTTTACCCCCAGGTCTCCACACTTAGTCTTAGAGTGATTGTCATGGCACTAACATGTCATCTTGGTATCTTGCACTCGGCCAGCTTGGTACCCCGTTAGGGGCCATCATGCCCATCTTGGGACTTAGTCTCCATATGGCCCCAAGGGGCTCTGTTTGATACCATTGTTGGCTTGATACCTGATGTCTTGCTATCAAGTCCGTCTTGCTTGGCCCCTTGTTGCCTGGCCATCAAGTCAGTCTCGCCGGCTTGATACCCCTATGGCTCTATACTTAGCCAATTCTCATATACTTTGGTACCAGGCCCTCCTTGAGGGCTTGGTACCCGGTCGTTTGGCACCCCATTGTGTCGCCTTGTTTCCATGATATCCGTCCGTCTTGGTACCCGGTCGTTTGGCACCCCGTTGTGTCGCCTTGTTTCCAAGACTTAGTTTTTTGGATGGCCTCCTATTTGGTATTCGGCTTGGTACCCGGCCGTTTGGCACCCCGTTGTGTCGCCTTGTTTCCAAGACTTAGTTTTTTGGATGGCCTCCTATTTGGTATTCGGCTTGGTACCCGGCCGTTTGGCACCCCGTTGTGTCGCCTTGTTTCCAAGACTTAGTTTTTGGGAGCCAAATTTAATACCAAGGGGTGGAGGCATCATCCGGATATGGGGGCCACGGAGACGGGTCGGCCAGTTTGGCCACTTAGGCCCAAAAACTCAACCCATCAAGGTCCAGCTGGCTCTTTTAATTATTAATGTTGAGCTGGCCTTATAAATTCCTTGAACTTCTTGTAGTTAATCGATGTGGTACAAACTGATTTTTTTTTTTTATGGGTAAACAATTTCTTAGTTTAATCTTCTCTTTGAACACTCACTAATCTTGCTTAAGACTTTACGGTGGGCCTTAACCAGAATTTAAAACACTTGTCATCTGACTTGAGCTGATATTCATAGCGCACCAATTTGATCAATCATTACCGGAATTGCTTCTACAGGAACTGATTTCAAATTAAAGCGTACAACCCAACTGGCCAAATAAACAAGCACCCACCCAAACAAACCCACATCTCTCATTCTTCTCATCTACCTCCTAAAACAGAGGAACAAGAATGGAGAATGAAGAACTGTCGGTTCTGCAAGAACAAGAAGAAGAAGCAGCCGCAGCCGGAGCCGGGGAAAGCAGTGTAACGCACGGAGGGAGGTACGTGGAGTACAACCTTCTGGGAAACATCTTCCATGTATCCTCCAAATACGTCCCTCCCGTTCATCCCGTCGGCCGCGGTTCGTATGGCGTCGTCTGGTACTCTAAATTATCTTCACCCCCAACTACTAGTAACTTAACCATCCTCTGTTTTTCCTAATTTGTAATCAATCAAAATTCCCCCTCATTTTGCAGCTGTGCCAGAAATGCAGAGACGAATGAGGCGGTGGCGATTAAGAAGATCGGAAACGCTTTCGACAACAGTGTTGACGCCAAGAGAACCCTCCGTGAGATCAAGCTTCTCCGCCATATGGATCACGAAAACGTAATCTGATTAATTCCCATCCAAATTAGTACCGATTTCCCTCATGGGTTGGTCAAAAGTAACTAATCTGACTGTTGCTCTGTTTTCATTGTGTGTGCAGATTATCAAAATTAAAGACATAATCCCGCCGCCGGAGAAAGACAAGTTTGACGACGTTTACATCGTCTACGAGCTCATGGATACCGACCTCCACCACATCATTCGCTCCTCCCAGCTTCTCACCGACGACCACGCCCAGGTTTCTGATTATACAATATTATGTGTCTACATTTGTGTGGGATTGAGGTGAAAATTATGTTTGACTGATGGTATCGATGGCGGGGCAGTACTTTCTGTACCAATTGCTTAGGGGTTTGAAGTACATCCACTCGGCAAACGTGCTCCATCGCGACTTGAAGCCAGGGAACCTGTTGCTGGATGCGAATTGCGATCTGAAGATATGTGATTTCGGGCTGGCGAGGACCACGTCTGAGTCCGATTTCATGACGGAGTACGTCGTCACGCGGTGGTACAGGGCGCCTGAGCTCTTGCTCAATTGCTCCGGCTACACCGCCGCGATCGACATTTGGTCCGTCGGTTGCATTTTCTTGGAGATTGTTCAAAGAGAGCCGCTTTTTCCTGGCAAGGACTACGTTCAGCAGTTGGGTCTTATTACCCAGGTAAAAGAAAATTTCCACAAACCTGCTGAAGAAAGAAGAAGATACAATTGATCAAATGAACTCAAAAAGTAAACAACTTTTCCTCTCTCTGTAAACATGTTTTCTTTTGCAGCTACTGGGTTCACCGGAAGATTCTGATTTGGGATTCTTGAGAAGCGACAACGCAAGGAAGTATGTGAAGCAGTTGCCGCATTTCCCTAAGCAACCCTTTGTGGAGAAGTTCCCAGATGTTTCGCCATTAGCGCTGGATCTCGCGGAGAAAATGCTCGTCTTTGATCCCAGCAAGCGCATAACTGGTATGCCAGGGTACTCTGTTTCTTTACTTACTCTGTTTTCATGAACAAGAAAAATGGCAATAATTAAGTTCCTTTATCATGGAATTTTCAATTCCGCAGTGGAGGAAGCGTTGAATCATCCGTATCTGTCGAGTCTCCATGAGATCAACGAGGAACCAACCTGTTCAAGTCCGTTCGTCTTCGATTTCGAGCAGGCTTGTTTGAGTGAGGACGACATAAAGGAGCTTATTTATTTGGAGTCTCTGAATTTCATGTCTACCGATGAAGACGCTATGGACTTGAGTAATTGACGCCCTGAATTTCATTGTTTCCCGATTGTTCATTTCCGGTTTGTGCTCATTATTGGTGATGACAGCATTGACAGGACTTAATTTTTGCTGGTTATTGTTCCGAAAAAGGAAAACAGAGAGAATGGATATCTCGGAAGAGGAGATGGGGGATCTTCTCTTTGAGCAGCTTTCCCACTAAGCTAGGGAAAATTTTGATCCTTTTTTGTTTGGTTATAAATTTGTTGATGGCGGGAATTGAATCTGTCATGAACAGAGGGTTTTGGTTATCCTGAGCCCCTTCAATGTATAAATTGATTTGCTTCGTTGATTTGAAAAATGAGGATTTTGGCATGACTTGAATTTTGGAAAATCATGTATATATGATGAATTTGGTGACATTACAGATTTAAAAAAGTTTATTGTTTGCTTTTTGAATTTGATTATGGATTTTGTTTGATTAGATTTATGAGTAAGAAATACAAATTATCTTGTTACCTTTATCTAATTATATTTCTATATTATAATACAAAGAAATTTGAAACTCTTTTCCACTATGTGACTAATAATTAAACTACAAATATAAAAATATTTTACAATTGGCACTAATTAACAATTCATCTAATAATGTACGCAATATTATGTATCAGTTGCAAACAATTGCTCACTTTAATGCTACAACTCATCATGTTCTTGCTAACTCTCCGATTTTGGAATCCGACAGTCAATCAAATAATAATGCACAAGATGATCATAAGGTGTTTATTGTTGAATCTAACAACTTACATACACATTCATATTTAAATGAAATACGATATTACAAAACGAAATGATAAATTCTCATATTTATAAAATATGACATTATAAAAGTTTATAGTTTTTTTTTTCCATTGCAAGATGCAAAAGCCAAGAAAAGAAGAGCTACATGGGGAAGGAGATGAGGAAGAGCTAACTTGGCGGGAAACAATCCGCCGATCAAAAGAGACTCCCTGCATATCGTCCAGAATAATGGCCACTACCCCTGACGGCAGATGTGCAAGTTCATGTATACTGTGTAGGGGTAGACGAGACTGGGATTTCGAGAGCCAATCCGCGACTCTATTCCCTTCCCGATAGACATGAACAATGTGCACCAGCCAGTCATGACTAACCCTCCCGCGAATAGCAGCTAACAAGGTGGCATTAGGATGAACTGGATCATCCATGTCCTTGAGTAACAGAATGGCGAGTTGCGAATCCAACTCGATCACAAGCTGGCGGTGACCGGACTTCCACGCGATATCCAACCCGTGATAGAAAGCCCACAGCTCCACCAGAGCTGCAGAGGCTTCTCCAATATTCGCCACAAACCCGACGATCCACGGCCCGACATCATCTCTCAACACACCTCCGACCCAGCGAGGCCCAGGTTCCCATTAGATGCTCCGTCGATGTTGATCTTCACTCGCCCACCCGTAGGCTGTTCCCAAGTAATTGCCGCCATAACCCAAGGTGCAGGGGCCGTCCTCCCTCTCGGCAACAAGGACGGGGCGCACCAATCTTCACTCCAGAGCTTGACCTTAGCAAGAATTGAGTGGGCCAAGGAAGGTGGAGTGAGAGTGGATGAAATTCCTTTAAAACATATGTCATTCCTGTTTTTCCACAAGAGCCAAATAGTGATGCTGAAGAACGCCGCCCACTCTACCCCCTAGTGCTCCTCCCCGCCTACGTCCAAGTTCATTCGGAGCCAAGCAGCAGTATCTGGCGAGAAGAATCCTTGTCGTCTAGTGCTGGGGACCTGCCTTGTCTAGAAATACGCAGCAGGGGGCAGTCCCTGAGTATGTGAAGGATATTCTCTACTTGCCCACCGCACCGCAGACAGTTAGGAGAAGCGGCCGACTTCCTCGAAAAACGAAGAACGTTAGTCGCAATTCTTCCATGGCAAACCATCCACATGAAGCACCAGACCCGCTCCGGGACTGGAAGACGCCATATAATCTTCCAAAACTTGGCATCGCGGTCAGGCTCCTGCGGCAGGAGAGAATGGTAGGCGGTCTTCGTGGTGAACCTGCCGTTTGAAGACAACGACTAGAAAAGAGTAGCCTCCTCGTTGGAGAGCCTATCCACCGCCACGCCTGTAATCTTCTGTTGGATTTCTTGGGGGAGGTGGTCAAACGCATTGACTAACAGTCAACCCACCACGTTACTCCCCAATCAGCACAATAAATAAATAAAAACTCAAAAAAATCCACATAATATGCAATTTCATAATTTTTCTTATTTTGCCCATAAAAAATTAAAATTTAAATGAAAGTGAAAAAATCTTAACACATCTCATCTTCCTCTAATCTTTCTCTCCTCTGTAGTTGCAACTCATTAGACAGAGAGGACGATGGTGGCAGCGCCACTGAGTTCAGCCTCGCCCGCATCGACTCTGTCACGGCCTAATTTAGCGGCTTCGCCCTGAACCCGGCCATCACCATTCGGGCCTGCCATTTCTCAAAAACTTCATACCGCTTGACCCGATCTCTCCCTTCGCAGGCAACTGCGTTCGCCAGCTTCCTCCCCAATCCTTACTCCACGCGCCCACACTCTGCCTCCCCCTACACCGTCCACAATCTTTCCATTTGCTCCTTGTGGTGGGAGTGAGTCCTTCTGAAATGCAAACGATTGAGGCCCTCATCGTCGCTTCAGAATTGTCTTCATGTTCCTTCGCTTCACCATGTGCTTGTGTATCCATTTCTTCAAGTGGATCTTAGCCTGCAAAACAGAGTCAAACACGAAACAGAGAAGCAACAAAGAAAAATCCGAATTTGATGAGGAAGGAGGTTGACCAGAGATGCGAGGTAGGCGACAGACCTGGATTAGGAAGGGGAAGATGACGCCTTCATTAGAAATTTGCAATTGCAAATCGCCGGGAATAGATCAGGTCAGTAACCCTATGGTCAGTAACCATGATTAACTTGTCCACATCATTATGACATCAGTATCCTCTCTCTCCTGGAAAGTCTTTTATCTATTCCTCTTTAATCTTTAACAGAAGATTTCTCTCTCGTTTTAAGTTGAAATTTAATTTTTTTGCACAGATAAATCAGATTAAATGTGCTCTTTAAAATGATATCCACTTTGATATATTTTTAGTACAACAAAAATTGAATAATTTTTTACCGGTCATTACCATATGGTATGCTCCTATTTAATACCATATGGTAAGAAAGCGTACCATGATGGTATGAACATACCAATATGGTAAGAAGGTTGAATACATGATAATAGGAGTATACTAACTGTCATTGTTTACTATAAGTTACCACCCACAGACCATAGTGGTAAAGTATGGTAACTTTTTATCCAGTATTTTTTTTCATCCAGAAATTTATAGATCCAATAGATCATGATGAACTCGTCCCTTCTATGCAAACGTTTTCAAAAATGACTTAGAAACGAAGAAGTTACCATATGGTATGTAGTTGGTAAAAAAAAAGTTTCTCGAAATATATTGAAAATTGATCTCATTTTGTAGATCACAACGAACTCGCTCCATCTGTGCAAAACAAATTGAAATCCGAGTTAGAATGAAGAAGATAAGAGCCGATTAAGAAAACTAGGGAAAATAAAATGCTTTTAATTGACAACCCTAAGATCTGAATTTTCTGGACCCACTTAGATATAAAAGTCAAGATTTAGTTACTCATACCGAACAAGAATCGGCCAGTGCGAGATCTGGAAACCCTCTTATTGATCCTTTTATTTTCATTTAGTTGGTAATTAATAGTTATTAGATAAATATTTTATTTAATTAATTATATGAAAATTCAAATTTAGGGATGATGTGGAGTTTAGGAATTTTTTAAATTTATTTATGCTCGGATGGTGATGTGGCGTGTTGACCGTTAGTCAACGCGTTTGGTTGTTCAAGATAACGGTCAAATTTCGGATTTGGCCAATTTCGTAACTTTGATGCATAGTTGAGGTCACGAAATTATAGATCAAAAAGATTGGTAAGAATATTTAATATGTGAAAAGTTCAGGCCATACAACTATATTTACCCTTATTTTTACCTTATATTTACTTATTATAATTGTCTTTTTTTACATATACCTATTACAAGGTGCTACTAGAGGGGAGGGGGAAGGGAAAAATAAGCATCGTCCCTGAAATTCGAACTTGGAGACTCCAGACTAAAAATCAACTATACGACTACTCGGTCATGACCTCATTCGCAACTGTCTCTTTCTTTTTAAATGTTTGATTAAAAAAATGAGTTGCTATTATTTGGAAAACGTTATTATCGGAAATTGAGTGCTTGGTTTGTTGGGCTCTCGGATTCCTCCAAATCGATCAAGTGGTGGGAAAAGGAACGCAATCTCACGTGAAGGCGTATATATGTCCTCATCAAATATTTTTGATTCCGGATGACAACCTACTAAGCAGCTTGTAATCAAACAACATCTCTTAATATATACCTCTAAACTCTGTATATATGATGACTTCTATAATACATCAATATATATATGGTAACATGGGTCAGACTGGTGTGCGTCAGGCGTATACTATACGTCAAGTACTACTAGTGAGATATCTCTATTTAGACCATGAATTAAATCGAGTTTGGGGTATGATACTATACCCTAACCTCTAATGGATAAACCCCAGGCACCGATTTTCTAAACCCTAACCCGAAGTTTGATTTAATGAAAAACAAAAATTGACCGTTGAGATCGGCCGGAGCTCATCTAACCACATCTAACGGCTAGATCATCTGACATATACTATACGCCTGACGTACACCAGTCATCACCATGGTAACATATATAGTTTGGTTTTGTTGCAGTGCATATATGAAGTTGGTTATGATGTTAATTATCACTAGTTAAAGTTAGTGGTGGTGAAAGTGATATTAACCCATGTGTGTAGCCGAACCCTAGTCTTTGTCGTGTAAAGGGTTAGGGCTTAGCATATATATATATATATATTGCTCTTGTAGGCTACTGTAGCCGTCAAGTTAGAGTTGTGAGTTAGTTAATAAAAGTTCAGCCGAGAAGCTCTTGAAGAGCTACTCCGTGGATTAGTCCCGTTCACATCGAACGGGGATACCACGTAAATCGTTCGTGTCCTTTTACTTTTTCGCGTTCTACATATTTTACATGGTATCAGAGCTATCAAGATCGTACCGTTGTTAGTTCCCGATGGGTGACGATACGGAAAAGGGATCCGAGTCTGGCAAGGGTACCAGTAGCGTTTCTCTTGGGTCGTTGAAGCTAGAACACGATCCTGTCTCGCCGTACTTCATCAGTCAGTCTGATAACCCTAATCAGGTATATGTTGGGGAATTGTTAACCGAAGCTAATTATGCTAATTGGGTTCATGATATGTCGAATGCCTTGCTTGCTAAGAATAAGCTAGGGTTCGTCGATG